CCTGCCTTTTGTAGGCAGCGTCTGTACCTTGAGTTAATTAGTTATTCAACTCAGTCCAGCTGGGTAATAATGATTGGATGCTATATACCATGTGCACCACGCTTAAGTCACTGCTCAGAAACTTCAGTGGTGTGCTTGGGCTGTTTCTTTTAAGGAAAACTCTTTAAGAGGTGCCAGCACAGTCAGACATGGGGCAGGCAGCTGAGGTGTGTCGCATTACCACTTTGTGTGACAGCATGCAGCTGAGGGAACCATGGGCATGAAGCTGCTCTCCTCTCTGAGATACCACAAGACAGCCACCATGTGTCACCACTGCCTAATGGTGCAGGTGACACCGAACCAGCTGAGGCCCCTGGTACCAAACCCACTACCTGCTCTGGGGCCTTTGCTCAGGCCTTGCCCCTTAGGGTGGTACCACTGTTTATGAAGGGGGGCTGGAACAGCAGAGGCGGTTTGGGGGAGCTCGGATTACTCCAGTCCCTACTATGTTGAAACCACTGCTGGGAGCAAAGAATCTCACCTGCCTCTCCTCTCAGGCAAGGGCTTAGAGAGAAAAAAAGGCCTTCCCCCCCTCCCCCTCCCCACTACTTCGTCGGCCAACAATTCGAAGTCACCCTAGCATTCCTGAACTTGAACTGCGGCAAAACAGACAAAGTGTTTTACATGAAACAAGCTGCAGCAGTTTAGAGAAGGCCCTTTTGAAGATGATTTTCTACCACAGAAGCTCATAAACAAGCCTGGAGAAAAGCAGCAGCACAACGCTCATGCAGAGAAGCCACTGGTGCCAAAATCCATCACAGCTCTACAGTACGTATTCTAAAACACCTCTTGGTAACACAGTAAGGACATCTCAGCTGTTGTCAGTTTTTTTTTTAAAAGCCTTCAGATTACAAACTGTTAGTTTACTAAGCAGCTTTGCAAGCAACACCTTCCTGTCGAGTTGATGTACTTGCAAGTCACACCCTATCGAGAGAAGACACACAAAAACAAGCAATGGATCACTTCCAAATACTTTAATATGGTCCGTAACAAGTAGGATGGAGCTTAGAACTGGATCACCTGACCCTGTAAGAAGGAAGGGACAGAGTGAGTTTATTCACCACTGAATGTCACCACCCTTTCTCAGCTGCTTACAGTACACAAATTTACCTTTCTCTTCTTGTCTCCTCCCAGTTCAAAGTGCTTGCACCTCTTAATTGCCAGCATCCTCTTGGACCTGCAGTTGGGCTCCACGCACTCCAGCCTCAGCACAATCTTCTTTGTGGTCTTAGCCTGGCAGGGGAGGAGCAGAGTTCGTATCAACACACAAAATGTCCACAAGCAGACACATTGCTGCTCTCAGGCAATGCTTGTTATCTGCCCTCCTAAAGATTCAGCAGCTTCTTCTCAAAGCGTAAAGAGAAAGACTACCCAGACAGTGTAGGCTCCCTCCATTAAAAACGACACTTGAAGGACCAGTACAGGAGTACAGTGGATCTGTACCTTCATGATAAAGGACACTGACAAAAGCATTCAGTGGGGCAGGGCTGGTTCCCCGCAAAGATCAGCCGCGCTGGAACAAAGTCTGTGCCAGTGAACACACCGAAGAACAGGCACTTCTGCAGTGTGAAAGAACAGACTGACACTGCTCAGGAGAAGTTTGGCAGAAAGCCAGGCAGAAGAAACACCTGAAAGCAGCATGACTAACAAGCCTTCCCCAGAAGGAACAGCAACACAGCATGCTCAGTGCAGTCTCGCAGCTACAGAGAAGTTAGGTGAAACCCAAAAGACTCCAGAGGGAAGAATTCAAAGCTGTGAGGCTCCTGCAGCAGCTGGACAGAGCTGCAACCACTAGTTATAAGCCTCAGCCAATCGTCCATGTAACACACTGGGAAAAAACAGAAATGGGGATGGCAACGTACAGCTGGAGAGCACCAAACTGGAAGAGCAGAACAGATTTGTGCAGTCTGCTTGCACAAGCATTTTCTGCAAGGTCTCCCCACTTCCTGGCAGAAAGTCAACTTGAAAAACTGCTGTCCCATTTTTTTCCTCTTGCTGGAAGACTTCCTGAATGTCTCCAGCAGAACACCAGGGCTTTCCAGCAATGAGCCAAGTAGCTCTAGAAGCTTAACTAAACAGTTCACACAAAAACTGTAACCAATCAGCCCATCAAGTTTGGCTTCCCTGCTGTAAATACCATAGATTGTGCCTCCCCCCACCAACTCCTTGGCAGGAGGCACAGAGAGAAAATATGCTGCAACATGATATTTCCAGGCACCCACAGTGATGACAACAGCAGGTTTCTGCAACTCTTCTGTAACAGAATGCACTGCTGCCCTTCACTGCTGCTTTGGAGACTCTATGGAAAGGCCTAATGCAGCAGCTCTCATTTACTGGCTTGATAATACGGATTTTCTTGGAGATAGCAGACTGCAAGAAAACCATGTTGTGTTCTGCATACCCCCAGGACTTGCAAATGCTTTGCTTCTATCATACCTTTGTCTGAAACGGCAGCCCCACCACACAGAGAGCCTCACAAACGCAACAAAAAGTTTCAGTGATAAACTACCAACACTTCAAGAACACAAGGAAAGCAAGCAGCAGGCTTTCCCTTCGCCGTACTCCTCCCCTTCGGCAAGCAGTGAGGAAAACACTCATTTCGTTAAAAGTATCACTTCCAGTAAGACTCTGCTCTGCTACAGCACCACGGCTCCCTGCAGAACCTGCTCTGCAAACATATGCAATGTCACTCCTGCAAAAAAAGGAGCACTTGCATGAGACGGGAGCAGCAGGGAAGATGAGCAGACGTGGATGGGGCACTGACGCTCCCCAAACAGCACTACCAGCACAGAGCTGCTGCAACATGGCTTGAGCACAGGACCACCACAAGGCTGCAGGAGGCTGAAGTGTTCCTCTTCAGCCAGGAATGCGGACTACCAGGTTTCCAGGAGCAGCACTCACCTTCTTACGGAAGATGGGCTTTGTCTGGCCCCCATAGCCACTTTGCTTCCTGTCATAGCGTCTTTTTCCTACGGGAGGAAACGGCTCAGTTTAGGCAACAGCTCAAAACACGCTCCAAACGCAGCAGGCACTGTTACCGAACTCCAGCAGAGCCC